TTTTGTTCTTTACCATTTGCTCTATCTGTATATCAAGGTTATTTTCACTGGTGGTCAGGGTTAGGTTTTTTTTCTCAATGATGCTTCTCCTGAGCCTGGCCTACCAGCTCATCAGTGGATCGTTCAAGCAACCAGTATCCCTTGACCTAGAAAGAATGGGGTTTTAAAGGATCTAAGTGTTGGGTCAAGCTGTTATGGAATTCCTGTCCATCACTAGACCTGATGCTGCTGTTTGCAACTTTCCTGGGTGCAATTCAGTGTTCGACCCTTACGGTCACTCCTGCTGCCTCCATCACTCCCTATTTTTGGTTTACGAGTTCTTTCCCCCCTCTGGTGTAAGAAATAGACAGGGAGGAAAGACAAAACGAGCCTCCCAGGAATCATAACACCTCTGGCTTAGGTCGATCAAAGGTGCAAAGAGGGAGATAAATATCCTGTTGAAGGAAACATTGGGAGTGTGAAAGTGGCAGGATGACACAGCAGCCCTTGGTGCTCTGTAGGCACTGACAACCGAAATAATGTCATGACATGGCTATTCCTTTCCCAGATATATCTTGCTGTTAGATTTGTAACCTTTCAACTGTTGAACTGGTCTCCAGTTTGCCTACTCTAAACAGCAAAGAATGTCAGATTAATGAATACCAGAACTGTTTAAAGCATTCAGGAATATGGACCAAAGAACAAAGGTTAAAAAAGCATAATTATTTAAAATATTTGATAAATCAAAGAAACCACTTTACACCAAGTCAAAAAGAGAGAAGATATAGCCATGGCTGATTTTCTGGAGAATAATGGTGAAAATTTTACACAATACTAGTATGGAAAATGCAAAGAATGGGCATATGTCTCTTGGATTATCTTAACCTTATTTTTTAACACTACTCTCCTAATATTTGTCCTTACCAGTATAGACATCCAGTTCATATTGATACAATTTATTAGACTCTCCATAACAGGCAGTTGGTGGTGCATCACATAGAGGTCCTCACCATCATCATCTTCACTCTAAAAAAATTTACACAAGTACAGTATATAGTTTTGCCGATATGAGCAGAATAATATTTATCATAAACCTATCAAATTATGTATTCCCCAGTAATAGTTGTTACATAGCAAGAGTCAATGTATTGGATGAATTCCAAAGATCATATCAAAACTTAAAATACTCTACAACGGTTACTATTAATTAATGAAAATGAATATAAAAGCAACAAAATTTAACATACATGATCCCCATCTTGGTTCCTATTAAGCTTTGAGTGGCCAACTTGTACAGTTGTCCTGGTAATGTGGAATCTACCAGTGCTTCGATAACTTGGGTAATTTTCACCAAAAACAGAATCATATAAATCAAAAACATTTTTCTTGTCTCCGTCGGTCCTCATACGATCAGAATATATCAGTCCCACAAACTGCCCCGGGTTGTATGACTCCTTTGGTTGATATTTAATCATGATGTCACACCATCTGTAAAAGCCAAACCAGTAAAATACAATGGTATAGATTAGTACACACACACACATCTACACAATTTACTTACACAATTTTACTTACAATTGACAACTAGGAAAAGCCAGGCATTATCTAATGTACAGCAAATGTATTGTACATTGTTATGTACTTACTCAATGCTATGCAAAAATGTCTTTAGTAATTAATAGTCTGTATTTCCACCATTATTTTGTCTTTACTTCATTAACCTAACTGAAACCACTTGAAGCACGTGTTATTAAATCAATAATCATGCCAGTCTGAATTACTGAAGATTCGGATAGTGTTTCCCATCCAGGCTGCATCACATGGCAACCATAAAATCAAGACCATCATGTCATAGAAATAACAGTATGGTAGTTAAATTAATAAAGTTAAAATAAGAGTTAAAATGTAAGTAAAGGCAGGAAGCAAGACAAAAGTATTCAAACCAGTCATCAATAGTCAGTCATAAGTAATGAAGTCAAGCTTGCAGGAAAGCAGTCATATTTAGTCAGTAGATGAATCTAAGACAACAACACGCCAGTCAAACAATGGTTGACTGATGGTTTTGATTATAAAACAACTTTTGGAAATTAAATGTATTGCCTCAAAAGCAACTATAAATAAACACATTCAAACATGCAGGTTCCTGAACCACTATACCTTTGTTGGTTCACTTAGGAGATGTACGGCTCACAGCTGGAAGGATGCAAACTGAATGCATATTGAACAGGAAACAGTCAAAACCTACAATGCAGCTGACACTGTGAGGCATAGGTAATACTGACTAGTAAAGCATAATCTAGAGCACTCATGTGTGTTTTGAAATGAGGTAGAAAAGTTGCACAAGGACTTACAGAAATAAAGAAGTCAGACCAGATAAGTCTCTCCTTAGGTTCTGAAAGAATGCACACTAGAGCAAAGCATTCACCAAATTATTTTTCAGATATCCTTTCAAAAAGGGAACCAAGCAGACATACTCAAAAAGGCATACCGAGTTCAAATCTAGAAAAATGGTAACAGAGAAGGAAGGCTCTCTAAGATATGGACTAGAATCAGTAACATGTTGGTAGTGAAACCAGTAGAGAAAAATAATTAAAACCAAATAGGTGGAATATCTCAAAAGAAATGACATAATGAACTGACAATATAGATTTTGAATTGGAAGGTCCTGTGTAAGAAATCTAATTAGCTTTTTATGAAAGCTAATTTGATGATTTTAAACATGATCTCCTGGGGAACAGGAGATCACATCCAGACACAGTAGAGTGGAAGAAACTCCAGGAGGAAGGTGTGGGTGGAAACACCAGGAGAGAACATCATCTCAAGGTCATTGTGGAACGCCAGATCGAGTAAGTACGGCTCTCTTGAACTAAAGCACCTTATCATTCATATATTCTTTGCCTGTTCAGGGAATATAGTTAGGAAAGTGTCTATTTAATTGTGTTAACATAAAAGTCATATATTTCCATGCGTCATTCCAGTGTGAATATCTTTCAACGACCTGAAATGCCCATGAATCGTGGGACCAGGCGTGAGCAATCAGGACAGGCCTCCCTCCTCAAATGGACGAAACGCGAAAGGGCCGACGCCCCTTACATGATGCCAACTTATAAGCAGAGCAATCACTGCACAGGCTGTGAAACTGGCCTACCACGATGGGAGGCAACCTGTGCCCTGGCACAACCCTTACGAAAAGACCACCCGCGGGCTCCCTGGAGAACCAGCAACTCTAGCATGGCACAAAAACTAGAAGAGGCCGCTTGCTGATACTGCACCACTGCAAACCCTGCAAGCAGCAAAGGACCAAAAGGCATAGAAAACCTAAGAGCCAAGGGCCCACGTGGATTCCACAGACTGACCAAACATTGCCTGTCGGCACATGAATTGAGAAGCAAAGAACAGACACCGACTCCTGCAGGATCAGCGCAAACAGCTTCAATAAAGTAGCCTGCCGAGACCAGTGCACCAGACCCACCATCCTCCTCAAGCTAGTCCGAAGACAGCTCGAAAAGGGGAAGGAAACGCAAGACCAAAGCCAAATGGCCACAGGCGCGCAAGTCCTCAGCTACTAAGGCAGCCGAAAGGGAGGGAACCTGCCTGTGAAGCTGAACAAGGCCAACATCCCGAGGAAGGGCAGGGGCGAATAAACACGCATTGAGACGCTTAAACTCGCCCCCAGGTAAACCTGTACAACTGAAAGGGTCTCTCGACACTCAAGCGTGCAGGACCAACAGAACGTATGGCATGCTCCCAACGAAAAGATAGGGGAGGAGGAGGGGAGGGGGAGACTGAATTCGGACTGAATCTGAATTTTTTAATAGATGAGGTATACAATCCTCCCAGAGGCACAGAAACACTGAACCAATAACCTTAATGAGACAGAGTTCCCAAGGTTGAGATCGGGCTGCAAGCAAAGCACACAGAAACATGCACTGGCAGTGCTTTTAAGACTCTCTAAGAACTGGCGAGTAGAAGAGCCTCAACAGCCTCAACAGTTGGTCTTCACAATTAACACCAGGAAATTGAAGAGATGGAATTGGCTAAAGAGGACTGAAGGTTCAGACACTCATTCTAAATGGCACCACACCATGAAGTGAATACTATAGCAGGTTGACCCCTTCTGTGGAGATCAAGTCTCTAGAGACCACCAATCAAAACTTGACACTATTGTTCTTGTAACAAACTAGGCTGGTTGTAAGAATTTTCCAGAATGTTTTATCTACAAGGGAGAATGGGAAGCTGGACCCGCGTGGTGACCCGGGACCTGACCCCAGGGAATTCGCGGTGAAAATAATTGACGCCTTATTCATAGTTTCGTATAATGAATCATCCTATAGTATTCAGTAATTTAGAGAAAATACGTCTTTATTCAGGTTGCATTCAAATTGTATTATATAGTTATAATATCAAGAGTATTCTAATTATTGAATTAAGTCACCATCAGTGACGTCACGAATCAGATCCAAGTTGTAAGGCGGAGTGACCGGCGGTCATAGGTCATCAGAGTTGACATGTCCACTATTTCTCAAAGGTCAAATAGCCATGTGGGGATCGGGAATAGCTCTCCCTTAAGATGCTTGTGTAATTTAACTTCAGTTAAAATAATTCAACCAATCTGGATCAATTAAGTACAACAGAGGTTAATTGTTATAACTTAAACCATGCTAAGTAACTTGGTAAGCGATGCGGAACAATACAATGCTCTAGTCTGGGGAAGATCAGAGAGAGGAGAGATCAGTGTGGTTTGAGAAACAACTCGGGCAGGTGGCCTTACCATCATCGGCCTCCCGACAGCACGAACATCTAGCTGGTCGCCCAAGGTAGAGTTGCTTTATGAGTTCTTATAGGGATAGCCCATTCATTGCCAAGTAGGGAGTGGTAGATTGATAGGGAGTGATAACCATTTAGATTTTGTTTTAGTTTTTCTTTTAATAAATTAATAGCTAGTAAAATTGCATTTTCATTATTTCCATGTGTTTGTTATATGTATATTAAATTGTCCCGGTCACGTGGTCCACACGAGGCAGAGTTGAATTGGGCGCCGATTCTAACATCGAATCGGAATTCATCATTCCCGTTTAATTAATTCCACACTCAAGTTTCCAAGGTTATAAACTACTAGTGGGGATCAAGCCCCAAGGTTGATTAATTAGCATGATCGATCCAGGCCTCGACCATTGCTCTGTGTTACTGGTCTGGTGGTGGCGGCGGAGGCGACTCTAGGGTTTTGCTCGAAGCCTATGTCACGTCATACGGGTTGTAGAATCCTAAGTCGGTCAATCGTCTTAGGACCAAGTGGCGTGGAGTCGGCTTTAGTAAAAGTTTTGGAGTCCCTTGTAGAGAATAAAAAGTAAGAATACGGGTAGAGGGGGAAAAGGCAGGAAAGATCATTCGAGAACACCCTCCCCGTGTTACATTCTGCTGGCACTAAAATACATCACCCATATTTTGGCAGTAAATGTTCCACCATCCACATGAACATCAGAGCCCTCAACCCTACATAACAAGTCTGCAAACTACATATCAGCACATGTCCATGGACTTGTGTTCCCCACCTGGATCACTCCCAATGTGAACAAAATCAGAGAAGACTTTGATATTGGTAATACTGCTAGAATCCACTCAGTAAAACATCTAAACTATTGAGACCAACTAAAATACCTAAATAGGTATTCACTAGATCAAGGGGGAAAAAGATAATTAATAATTTATACTGTACGTGGAAAATATTAGAAGGGCTGGTCCCATATCTGCCCACAGAAACATCACCACAGGAGACAAGAAGGTATGGCAGGATGTGAGAATACCCCTGTTGAAAAGCAGAGGTGTAATAGGTACTCTGAAAGAGTACTTTCAGAGTACTTTCTCTGATCAACATCAGACACCCGAGACTGTTTAACACGCTTCCACTACACATAAAGGACATAAATGGCCGACCTCTCACAGTGTTCAAGAGAGAACTTCATAAACACCTCTAAAGGATCAAATCCAAAAGGGCCGTGACGAGGATTCGAACCTGCGTCCTCCAAAGGATACCTGATCAACCAGGCTGTGAACAGCCACATCCAACAGCCTGGTTGATCAGTCCAACAACCAGGAGACCTGGTCGGGGACCGGGCCACGGGGACGTTGAGCCTCAAATCATAGCAAAGTAAAGTAAGGCTAAGCATTTTTTTTTTTGCACCTATTACTTTTGTATACACACATCTTTTTTGTTATATTTGCACACAGGCATGATGAAAAATTTGTTGTTATCCACTTTTTGAGGGTTAAAGTTTCAAGTCAATACTTTAAGGTATTTGAGATACTAAACATAAATTAACTGTCAAAAATTAAATACAAAAATATATATCGCAAAATCATAACTATCTAATAGTCCTACCTATGGGGCAAGCAAAATTATATTAAATTTGACTAAATTTAGACCCTTCAGTTTGTTGATTCACTTTAAGAAATGGGAAAACAGAATTAGGACATTATTTGTCTCGGTCAATATTTACAAAAAAAACAGCGTTGAATGTAATGAAATGCCATTTTCTGGGTGAGACCCGGAGGCTCCCCGGAGCTTACTAGGCTGATATGCTAATGTAAGACTTTGGCATCAGTCATGTGTATGGAGTTCTGAAGGTCTACCGGGGACCACGAGCCAGAACCTGGACCCCTCAGAGAGGCAAGGGGAGCAATGGCCTATAGAAACCTCCATGTGATTGGAAGCATTCTATGTCTGCCATCGACCAGGTCAGGCACCCAGACCTACTATTGCAACCAAAAGCCAAACAAGTGGATAGAACTCCACGAAAAGAAACGAGTAAATGATCATGACGTCATACGCTGCCGTGCCGCTATCTGCGCAGCTGCCCCCTCCCTGGAAGGGGAAAGGGGGAGCCCCAGATCCCCTCATGCCAGCTATCCACCTGTCAGTTCTGAGGCTAGATGTCAAAACACACGAAAAATACGCCGACCAGGGGGAGGGAGAAATGCCGGGGAGCCTCCGGGTCTCACCCAGAAAATTAAAACGCAGCTACCAAAGAAGGGACAAAAGAAAAGGAAGGACCACCAAAAACCCCACACTGCTGCCAAGAAGAAGCATGTAGGTGGGACACCATCAACAAAGCCATTAGACCACCAACAGAAGGTGAGAGACTCGAGGCGAAGCCGATCCGGCCCCGCCGTGGGCCAATCGAGCCTAGGAAGATCTCTGGTGCAACCACGGAGCCAGCAGAACCACAAACCCAAGCCAGCAAAGGAGGAGATGGAACGTCTGCCGTACAGAAAAACATCCCAACGTTGGCGAGCCTGCCAGAAGATCGAAGACGACAGTCCCGATGCGCGATTCAAGAGAAGGGAAACCGAGAGACAGTGAAAACGCCAACAAGCCGGGTAAGCCAGGAAACCAGGAACCCACATCTGGCAATAGGAGAGCCAAAAGGCACAAAGAAAACATACAACCATGTGTAGGATAAAAGGAGAAAATGGAAAACACAAGAAAAGACCAGAAGAAAAGCCCCAGCACCAACGGTCAGGGACAAGAGCGTAGAAGGAAGATAAGGAATGAAGAAGGCAAGTAGCAAAACAGGAATGAAAGGGACACGACCAACACACAGAGCCGCTGGTCACATTCCAACAAACCAACACAGTTGTGACACGTCACAACACAAGACGAAAAGGAAAAAAGGTGCAAAGATACGCCGCCAAACCAGTACCCGAACCAAGGAGTACGAGCTACGAGGATATGATCACCACATTTAATTAACACTTCCTGTTTCTCCTGAGTCCTGTTTCGTCTAACGCTAACGCATAGTGGACATAAAGTTATGTCCTCTTTTAAAATATTTGTATAAAATTCAATTTTTATCCGATTTACTTTGGGTTTGTTTCAAACTGCGCGCCATGAGGCTCTCTTTCTCACCACTAGGCTGCATGGTACAATAAGTTCATGAAAGGTGTGGACCACTTCGATCAAATGGTATTATGTCCCAAACGGGTTGCAGGTGGGTGACTTTAGCCGTTTATACTGGTAATGCTTCCCCCATATCATGTATTATATGCATATGTCTGTTTAGGGAATTTTATTCCGATCAATGTACAACCAAAAATAACTGTGTGCAACAAGTATAAACTTGACAAACAAAACAAAAGTAAAAACATTTCGTGTGTATTTGACGCTCACTGATATGTTCCAGCGTAGTTTTATATTTGGCGCTATTCTATCTTACGCTTTGTTGATCTTTTTTACCTATGGGCTCATAGAACATTCTATTGCGAACACATTGACACAAAAATGAATGACGTACATAGAAAATTTATGTCATGAGAGTGAAATAAATATAAACTTTCAAAGCGCCGTGCGTCGTCCCGTCACCAATACCGGGTAACAATTTCACCACTTCCCACACTCTTGCGGGCGGGCCGCATCATTATTCTACGCTTATATTCATATCACCGTGTTGGGAATTTCATTGCGAGTCCATTGATACCAAAATTAACGCTGTAGAACAAGTGTGGAGGTGATAACAGTCCCAAGAGTAAAAACATTTTGTTGCTGTTGGGCGCTCACGGCGAGTCATCTTCGTAGTTATTTATTTGGTGCTGGTATCCCTATACGTTTCGTGACTTTTTTTACTGATGTTCTTCTAGAGAATTTTATTGCGAACACGTTGGTACCAAAATGAAATACGTAGCTCGAGAACTAAGGTCATGAAAGTAAAAAGAGTATACACATTTTTGTTTTTACGCTTACGTGGCAAAACGCTCTGAGCACTTACGGTTGGCTGAGTGACCTTCGCGGAGAGCGCGAAAGTGTTAAGATTCCCAAAGGAAGTAATAAGGTAGAGAAAGACCGACTATGGGACCCCAGGGACACATGCACCAGGGAACACCAGTGGAATGAGAGCCCAAACAAGCCCAAGAGACATAGAAAAGAAGGATTGCAGTGTCAGAGTAATAGACAAGCGGAGCGCATGAGGAAGCGACGTGGTGGAGGATGACACCACACACAGCTTCAAGCGCAGATAAGACCTGTTCATGAGCCCAGGACATGGGCTCATGAACCTGCACATGAGCGAATGACAGGTGAGAAACGGGACCAAAAACCCAGAGCTAAACTACCGCAAACACAACTAGGGAAGGACTACTACGCAAGTACCATACAGAGAATCCAATGTCTATTGAGGGGCAACTCTAAAACTCCATACACATGACTGATGTCAAAGTCTGACATTAGCATATCAGCCTAGTAAGCTCCAGGGAACCAACAGGGCTCCCCCCAGAAAAGAAGATTAAATTATAATGTAAACCAAGATTACCTGAACATATCACGTAGGTTTAGTTCCCATGGTCCACCTCGAATGCCCCATAACCCTTGGTCCAGAATTTCTGATGTGATAGACTGATTGAACTCGACCATCTTTGAAACAATTTCATAAGGCAGATCTGCATACATCATGCTCAGAATGAACTCTAAATCAGCAGATGACAGGGCCTCTATATGTACCTTTATATAAAAGAAATTCAAAATGCATTTCATTTCTTAAAAAAAAAGCATTACAAAATCAATGAAGAATATATAAATCGTCTTAGGTTGAATAAGATTAACATCAAGCAATGAATGTATTAAATGCTATTTTCTGGTTGGCTACCAGTGACACTCTGAGCCTAACTCTGGTACCAACGAACCTAAGCCCAAGACACCAGGCCTCCAAGGCCCTTTCGTACCTTGCCGGAAGACACAACAGGAATCTTGCTCATTCAACGAGGTGAGATCAACCATAAAACGGGAGGAACTTACCTTAAAGCACAGGTACAACAAAATAAGTGAATACGTTAAGGAAATTAGGCACCCTCTCAGCAAACAAATCAAAAGATGGGTTCCATGGGGGGTAGATACCCTGACAGTGATGCACCTGCTTGCCACCACTTGGAAGGTCAGATCACCAGAGGTCCCACCCTGGGACTTCTGGGAGGGAAATATGAAAAATCTCTGTTATGTTGAGATGATTTCGGGGCTTAGTGTTCCCCCACGGGGTGGTCCTCGACCAGGCCTCCTTTTTGTTACACACCCCCCAGGAAGCAGCCCATAGTAGCTGTCTAACTCCCAGGTACCTATTAACTGCTAGTTAACAGGGGCACCAGGGTGGTTACCTTGAGGTTACCTTGAGGTGCTTCCGGGGCTTAGCGTCCCCGCAGCTCGGTCATCGACCAGGCCTCCTGGTTGCCGGACTGATCAACCAGGCTGTTGGACAGGGCTGCTTGCGACCTGACGTATTAGTCACAGCCAGGTTGATCAGGTATCCTTTGGAGGTGCTTATCCAGTTCTCTCTTGAACACTGTAAGGGGTCGGCCAGTTATACCCCTTATGTGTAGTGGAAGCGTGTTGAACAGTCTCGGGCCTCTGATGTTGATAGAGTTCTCTCTCAGAGTACCTGTTGCACCTTGGGTGAAAGAAACATTTTGTCCATTTGTCTTTGCCTCCACCTGGGATTGAACCCGGAACCTCAGGACTACGAATCCGAAGTGCTGTCCACCCAGCTGTTAAGCGCCCGGCAGGTACACAAGCTCAACTCTTGCAAGCACAACTAGGTGAATACAAGGTGGAGGAAAACCTGGGATAAACAAAGCCAGCAGCTCACCAAATGGCTAAACACACACACGCACACAAAGAGCAAGACCAAAGGATGCTAAAAAAAAAAAAATTATTATTAGAAAGTCAAGAGGCCACGAGCCTCAGCAAAAATTCACTCAGCCAACTTTCACACATCCTTAAAAGCTGGACAAACA